AAAAAAAATCAACAACAATAAAAGAATCCAACAGGAGCAGAGGTGGGGTTGAGGCCCAGGCTAGGCCCCTGGTGCTGCCCTGAGTGAGGGGCTGGAGGTGAGCTGGGGAGGAGCAGGTGACAAGAGGTCAGGTGCTCAGTCGCCCTTCTGCTTGGGTGCTTGAACAGTCCCATTGGCCAGAGCAATGGGGCTGCCTGGAAGTGAGGCATTTGATATCTGAGAGGAGCTTCGAGGGGTGTGGGGGGGGCGCAGGTAGGTGCTGAAGAGCTTCCTGTAGAGAGGGTCATGGAGGGAGAAGTTCTGGAACTGACCTGGACAGGTGAGAGTGACACGGGGAAGAATAGAAAGATGTAAGAATAAGGGGGAAAGGTGCCCCTGCTCTTAGAAGTCTCTTCTTCCAGCTTCTGCTGAGAGTTTATGCCCTCCCTGCCTTTCCAGTCCATCCTGGTCTTACCTCTCAGGCATTGCCATTGACCCTGGGTTCCCTCCCAGCCAGTGCTTCCTTCTCCAAGTCCCAAGTGCTGATCTGCCACTAGTGCCCACGTGGGGGCAGGGAAGGCCATGACTCACAGAGGGAGAGGCCTTGGCTGGCGCCCTCCTGGCACAGCTCAGCATGCAAAGTGGTGGCAGCAGGGCGGGGTGAACCCAGCAGCAGGTGCAGAATGGTGCTGAAGCCGTCCTTGTACAGTAGGCGGTCAGGTCCCTCAGCCTGTTCCTCAGCAAAGAGCTTGGGAGAGAAGGATGCAAGTCAAACCCTCTCCTTGAGTTGCTGCCCCTCTCAACTTTGCACATATGCCTGACTGCTCCTCCTCTCTCTCACTCAATCTCTCCTCTTCCAAGAGCGTAACACACAGGTATTCTGACCCTCTGGGGCCCTTTCTGCTGAATCTCAAACAAAATTAGGTCCTATCTTCCCCCAAACCCCCATCCCCAGCTAAGATTCAACACTGTGTTGCAGTTTCTTATAGTATACCAACTGGGCAGGACACCGGAGTACATATTATCTAAGTTACCAAGAATAGCACACTACACGGGCCTCCAGGTGGGGTCAACACACCCACATTATGCCTTTATCCCACTTACTCCCATTCTGGTACCTCAAAAGCCAAGCGCGTCAGCTCCTCCAGGGTCCTGCCTCCATCTAGGGCTGCTAGTGCAAGGGCCACGTCTCGGAAGTCCACCAAACCCTTGGTATCCTGGAGGATGAAAGAGAAAACCAGGTAACAAGGAACCGACCCTTTATCCTTCCTTATACTCTGAATACTCTTTCATACTCTTTGATACTTCTTTATACTCTTTCCTCTTCTCAATGGGCATGGGGGTAACCCTAGTGACTTCTCTCCTATGATTGTTTACCTTTAAACTCCTCATTATCCCATAGGCTTGCTCAAGCTAAATCCCAAAATTATCTAGCGGCACAGCTCTCCCTTAAAGGGATCTCCTAGGAATGTTTGGAAATCCCCTAGGAATGCTAAAATTACCAAGTGTCTGACATACCATCAGAGGGCACTCTTAACCCTCAAGCTGGACAAACTGGTTCTCTATTGAGGTTCAGCCTGTGTGGGAGAACTGGTCCAACAGACTGAAAGGGGGTCAACAGCATAATTTCTTACAAAACAAAGATGTTTACAGGGCTACTCTATGGAAGACCACCACATTGGGTTTCTGTTCTGTTCTGCTACATGCTGAATGAAGGAAAGGCTCAGTCTGCTTTATTCTACAGAGTCAACACACCTAACATTCCCTGTCCCTTCAGAAAACATTCAGGGCCATGGTCTGCACCTTAGATCAAATAGAGCTTCTCAGGGATCACGGTTGTCTGTAAACATTAGGATCCTTCCAGGATTACTATACTTCTATAAGAAAACCTGGAAATGATAGCTTGCCAAGATTCTTAAGACATTTCAGGAATCCCCTAACAGAAGCCATGGGATATTAAAAATACAGGCCAAGTATTAGAAATATTACCAGGTTTCATATTTTTATGAAATGTCATTGTTTCTTCCATATGTCCCTTTCCTACTTAACCTTCATGACTATTCAAAGACCCTCACTTAAGTGTCCTAAAAAAGTTATATGATCCCTCACCTTTGATAATCTCTACAGTGGCTTCAGGAATTTTTATTTTCTCTTCTCTTGTACTGTGCAATAAATGTGCCATAAAAAGAGATCTCAGAAGATGCCTATCTGACAGATATGGCTGTCAGAATGGCCAGGGCAGATTCCAAATTGGTCATCCAAAGGTGACTATAACTGTCAAATCAAATACTTAAATCCTGAGTCTGTCAATCTGGGAGGCAAGTCCCTGGGTTCTATCCTTCATGTTCCTGCACCCTTACCTGATGGAAATAGCTGAAGGCACCAGCCACTGTCTGAGGATCAGAGAGCTGCAGCTGCCTGGCAAACTCATCCTGGCTGATCATTCGACTCCGCCCTGGCTCTGCTCCTGCATCCACACAGCTGGGGGACAGCCTACAAAGGAATTGTTAAAAGCAGAGAAGAGACTCAGGTTCTTTCTGGACGTACCTCCCAGCAGGACCTTGGCTCCAACTCCAAATATCCCCAGAGCAGGTTCAGCTACTGTTTTTCTAAGATATACTCTGACTCATCGTCCTTTGAGAACCCTTCCCACTTCCCTCACCCATGTCATTTTATATTCTTCCCTTTCTATATCCCTTAGTATTACTCTACTGTCTTTTAAAAAAAAAGTTCTCTATCTTCCTTCTCTTTTCAGACATTCCTTCTTCATTCTTATTTCTCTTTTTTCTATTTCTTTGTTAGCTATACATGACATGGTCCATATCCTTCATGATCACTTACCCAGCCTTCCGAAGCACCTTCCCCAGTTCCCAGAGCTGTGGCTCCAATGCCACTTTCAGCCGGCCCACCACAATCACAGGCAAGTTTCCTACAAACTCACATTCAGTGGCTGGAATACCCAGGGCCCTACAGGATGAAGCGCAATAGAATGGATGGAGAAGGGGAAGAAGGCAGAAGAATCTACCAAAGGTTAATTACTTCTAGCCTGCTGGTTGGGAAGAGTAAATGAAGCTCTCTTTAACCATTCCCTCTTCAGTTTCAGTTGCTCCATAGTCTCTTTCTTTCCCCCATACCTCCAGTCTTCACCTTGGCCCTCCACCCTCTCCTTTGTCCTGTGCTCCTTTGCTTAAGGAAATAATTTTGAGGCACACTCACTGCGCCATGACTCTCTGGACATTGTTGGCATAGAGGGTAGGGTCCCTGCTCTCCTCAGGGCTGGGATGGTACACAGGCAGGAACTGAAACACACACACACAGTTCTGAGAAATTAAAAACTAGAAAGGGAACACTCTCACACTTTCCCCACCCTAAGGCTTCAGGAGTCTGTGAGAGTTCAGTCTCCATCCCACTCATGGCACCATACCTCCACATCCACGATGCTGCAGGGCTGGGAGGCTGTGAGCCAGAGGACTTTGAGTCTAAGAGAAAAGAAATCTGGAATGTTCACCTATCCCTACTATGGGCTCTTACCACCTCAAGAAGGGGCAAAGTTCTGCCTGCTGATATAAAAGTGGACATCTAGTGATACAGCCCAGCTGGGTGAACGTGCAGGTGGGAAACTGAGGGAAGGCCTGAAGGCTGGTGGCATGAGAGAAGAGCTGCAGGTAAGACGTTTGGGCTATGGAGAGGCAAGAGCTCTGGGTGGGAGTAGTAGTGGTTCTTAAGAAGGGAAAACTAAAGAAAAATAACTTAAGAACCTAAGAAAAGTTAAGATAAATTTTAATCACAGCAGGTGTGATTTAGGTGAGAGTTTCCAGATTACATAGATCAGAACAAACAGGCACTCTGTTACGTAGAGCTCTGATTTCCTAGAATAAAAAAAAAAAGGCCATTCACCTTGCCTAGAGATGGGAAGATAGGGCAGGAATTCTATGGACCTTGTTCCCCACCCACCCTCACCCCAAGGACATCACAACTCACACTCCAGGGCCTCTCCATGCCCAGCTGGTGGTGTCCTATGAGAAGCAGAGTAGGGGTTGAGGGACATTACTTTTTCTCCATGGACTTGGTTAATCTTCTTTGAGCCCACCAGACCCATTGCTGTTCCCGCCTCTACATATATATCCCATCATGCACTAGTTTTCCTCATTCCCATTTAGGGCAGATTGAAAACCCTCAAGACTCACCCCTTTCTTAGTCTAAGACTCACCAGACTGTTGGGGTATCGGATGAGGACAGGCTGCACAGGCACCCCTGCGATGAAAGCACCTAAATCCCATTTTATACCCCCCCCACCCCCAAAGCAGAGGTTAGTGCACAATGGTAGCTAAGAAAGGATACAGTCTTAGACAATTCTTAGAGAGTGTCCTGCTCTGGCTTTCTTTCATTGTCATTTATAAAGCCCTGTCTTGTACTATTAGTTAAGAGGGTCCCCGTCCCCCTCCCCTAGGTTTGTGGTTTTTTCCAGAGCCCTTCTCCAAATTCAATGCTTTCTTTCCCCAACAGCTTTATTACCCATTATTACTATATTCACCTGGTTTGAATTTAAGCAAAGCCTTCTTATTGGAACAGGTGCCCTCAGGAAAGAAAAGCACCTGGGGGCGGGGGAGCGAAAAAACAAATTCAGCTGAGATGGAGTAGGTTAAGGGGAGGAAGAGAACCTTTTCAGTAACATAGAGAAAGTGAGGGGAGGGTCTTATGACCCTTACCCACCTGGGGCCACTTGCCTCCTGAGGTTGCCCGCCTTCGGACCTCCTCCACTACTTTACGCCGAGAAGCTGGGTCATGCCGGGATACCAGGATGGCTTGGTTGAATCGAAGAAGGGCTGGGGTTGGGAGGCAATACAAGGAGAAATCATTTGGATTCCACTTGAAGGCATAAACCTAGCCTCTTCTTCATCAGTAGCTTGAGAAATTTCTCAGCACTTTGCCCTGTAAATAATTTCTTTATTATATGTTATCTTTTTTGCTTATATTTTTATTTGAGTGAAAGTTTACAAATAATATTGCTTTTTCATTCAGTCATCACAGACATTTTGGTTTTTTTTTGTAGCATTGATTATAACTTATTTATATAATTTATTACAAAGGCTGATCAAAACCCTGTTTTATATTGTCATTTCCTTCACTCTAACCAGCTCTCCCACTAACACCTGCTCTAGGCTACCTCAGAGTTCAAGAGACTTGATTCCAAAGTGTGCTAATTTGGCAACAACAGTAGATATTCCTTCTATAAGTTCTTCCCCACTTGAAGCCAGTCCTCTCCGCAGGGTTCCAATTTCTGACTTTTTTGCTCAGAGTTGTCCTCTCTCCCCCTTCACTGCTGTTGAACATGCTCACCTCCAATGACAGGCACAGAAAGGTTCTCAGCTCTGGATACCACCTTGGGCAGGTCACAGGGCAACAGAACAATAGGATCAAAGAAAGTGGAATGAGGGGCAGCAACAAGAACAGGAGCTTGAAGGCGAGAGGCCCGCTGGCCCCGAACTCGAATCCGGAGGAAGCCCAACAGGAAAAACAGCAAGCGGCTTAGGCCCAGCACCCCATTATGGCACACAGTCCTGTCAGTGCAAAGCTAGGCATCAGTGGAGGCAGCAACTCCAACCCTCATTCTTTTGCTCTCAAATACTTGGCCAAGGAGCTCAAGTCTCTAGTGACTTTAAAAACAGTTCAGCTCTGACGTCAGGTCTGAGCCTCATTGCCTCCTCTCACCTCCCCAGGCTGGATAGGGCAGCATCAGAACCTTCCTTCCCTTCTTCCCCAAAAGGGAGCAGAAAGGAGAGCAGGGAAAAGGAGCACAAGGCAAGGTCTCGAAGGGGTGATCCTCACTTACTTCCTCCATCCTGTAAGTGGTTCCTGAAGCTGCTCCTCAGTAAGACCTACAACTTGAAGCCAGGCAAAGGGCCAGAGGAGAAAGAGGATGATAAAGGCCAGAAACACTCGGATGGGGGCCAATAGGACCCCTAGGAGGCAGAACTGCAGAATGAAAGAGAAAACGCCACTTCAGGGCTGGGGAATGTCCCTTGTACAGCTCCTCCTCTCCTTCGAGGAAAGATGCAGGCGCCAGGACAGGCAATAGGGATCCAATGTGGGATAGACAGACACTAACAAGGACAACTAGGGACCTTAGTTTCTTGGCTCTCAGTTGGTCGGTCCTCCACACGCAAAAACAAATGTCACAAAGTGCATTTAGCACTTGGAAGAGGATTTAATAAGATAACACATGTGAAATTGCCCAGCACAGTGCTCGATGGAGAGTAGGCTAGAGCCCTCCCCCCATCCCATTCCATAAATATCTCAGATGTCCAACCAGGTGCATAGTCTCTCTTCTCAGGGCTCAGAAAGCATAGAGTTGGATATATTAGGGAGATCTACTTTTTGGGCTCCAGGTCACTCTCTAATTCTACCCAATAGCTATTCGCTGGTACCTGGGCACAAAACGGAGCCTTGGTGGTGTGGTGGTTAAAGCACAGAGCCGCCAACTAAAAGGTCAGCAGTTTGAACTCATCAGCTTCTCCTCGCAAGAAAAGATGTGACAGCCGTCTTCTAGAAATAGTACAGCCTTGAAAACCCTATGCAGCAGTCTCACCTTGTCCTACAGGGTCCCTATGAGTCTCTCAGACCAGCGGGTAGGGTGGGGGAGAATTAGGTAACGAAGAGCTCGGCCCTATTCCGCAGGGTAGGGGTTGCCAGGAGCCAGGTAGACTCCATTGACTACCACAGGGACAGTAAAGGTAAACAAGCCAAGCCCCTGGAGCCCGCCTCTGGGAAGGTGAAGACAGCAGAAACCTAGGACATTCCCTTCCACAGCACCTCACAGTTCCCCTAGGCCGGTGCGGCCCTTCACTTCCTGTGGCCAACCCCCTTCCTTGCCGCCCTCCCCTTACCCGGGAGGTGCTGCAGTGCAGGGAGAGGGGAGGAGGAGAGGGGCTCTGGGAAGGACACAGGGACGCAGGCTCTGGACCCAGGAAGCTCAAGCCTTTAAGTCAGAACCCCAGAGAAGCACTCTGCGCGCCCCCGCTCCCGCCCCCACTCCCGGAGCCTCTGTCTCCATCCCAGCTCATCAGCCTCCGCAGGATGTGATCCGCATTCCCCAGTGTCCTCCATCTCTCCTACCCCTGGGTCCCTTGCAATCCTCCATCCTCGCCTCAATTCTTCCACACCTTCGTGCATGACTATCGCACAAGCCCCCACCCGACCGCCCCCATGTGCGCACCCCGGGACATCAGATCCGCAAACATGCACCCCACTACCTTGCCAGATCCCCATGCCCATCTCTGTCAGGGCCCTACACTGCCCCATTTTCCTAGCTAGACGATTCTCCCGATGTCCTCTGCCCACACGTTACCTTAACCCTTTGGAGGCGAGAGAGATGTAGCTCATGCACGAAAGGGTTGGGGGTTCCAGAAGTGGGGTCGAGGGGAACCCAGTCCCCCGGACTTCTCTGGCTCATAGCGGCAGGAGGCGGCGGGAGGGCAGGAGGGCGTCGGGGCCCCTGCCCCCGCTCTGCAGAGAAGCGATAGCTGCTCCTGCTGCTGCTGCTGCTGCTGCTGCTGCTGCTGCTACTGCTGCGGTAGCGGCGACAGAGCTCTGGCCCCGGCCCCGCCCGGTGCGGGGCGCCGAGGGGCGGGGAGCAAGCGCCGCCGCCGGGCCCGCGTTGTCAGGGCGCCGGCCGAGGGGCGGGGCTTCGGTGCCTGAGCGCCTCCGTTTCCCGGTGCTCGACGCTGTTCCCGCAGCCCCTCCGGTCATTGTTCAGCCCCAGCTGGGCGCGGGCGTCGGGCCACTCCTCCGTGAAGATCAGGACGCTGGCTGCGGTCTTGTCAGGTCTCTGGCCTTGGGAGGGTGTGCCCACCCCCACCTCGCCCCGATGTGCGCGCAGGGAGCTGAGTACCTTCCCACCCTGCCCGGGCGAGGAGGTCACCCTCCAAAGCAGATCTGGGTGGGGCCCAGCGCCTGGAAGGGAAGAAAAGGCAAGTGCCTCGGGTAGGAGGCCGGAGGTTCCGGGGTGAAACAGGCCCCCCTCTCCCAGCCGGTTCCGAGCCCCAGCCTCTGGTCATCGCAGGAAGACCACCTTTTCCTTCCCCAACGAGGCGACGCCATCGCTAAGGACTTGAGGCGCGCTCGCCCTCTTGCGTCCATACGGCACCTTACAACTTCCCTGCTCCTCAAGTATTGCCCATGTTGAGGACTCCTAATTTGCTATCATCAGAGAGTTGGACAATGACTAGGGAGGATAGAAGGAGAACTGATGCCTTTGAGCTGTGGAGCTGGAGAAGAGTATTGAGGGTACCATGGACTGCTAGGAAAACAGATTCATCCCGGAAAAGGTCAAACCGGGCTGCTCCTTTGGAGGCAAGGATTCTAAGGCTAACATACTTTGGACATGTTGCAATGAGGGACAGGTCCTTGGAGAGGGACAGCGCAGGAGGGGAAGGCCCTCTATGAGGTGGATTGATTCAGTGACTGGGTAATGGGGATTGGATGTATCGGAGACAGTGCGATTGGCACAGGACAGAGCAGAGTTTAGGGATGTTGTACATAGGGTTGCTATGAGTCACAAGCGACTCGACGGCACACAACAGCAACAACAACAACAACAGTCCAAGGACCGTCAAGTACCGTCAAGTTCCAACACCGGCCCTGCGGTTCTCTTGTTTTAATATTTTAATTTATTTTTATATAATAATACCTTTACAATATATTTCATTCATATGCATTATTTTATACAATCATTTACATTATGTTTTATACAATCATCCATATACATTATATTTTACGTTTCTTTTTACTAGGGTTTGTTTTTTTTTTTAAATAAAATTCCAATATATTGTTTTTCATACCAGATCCTTCTCATTTCCCTCCGCTTGTTGTGTACCATCGAGTTGGAACCCAGCCATAATTGACTCTCCGGCGGGTTTTCAGAGGCAGTTAATCACACAGGAGGAGATTGCCCATCCTTCTGCTGAGCGACTAGTAGTGGTCTTGTACCATGTGTCTTCTGGATTACAGCATAGCTTCTTGCCACTAGGCCACTAGAACTTCTTTATGGTTCTCTAGAGACCCTCAGAGTCAGCCACAGTTTGTTATGATCCACACAGTCAAAAGCCTTTGCATAGTCAATGAAGCACAGATAGACATTCCTCTGGTACTCTCTGCTTTCAGCCAAGATCCATCTAACATTAGCTATAATATCCCTAGCCTCTTCTAAACCTTGCCTGGACTTCTGGCAGTTCTCTGTTGATGTGCTGCTCCACTCGTTTTTTGAGAATTTTTGGCAGATTCTTATTTGCATGTGATATTAATGATATTGTCCGATAATTTCCGCACTCTGTTGGGTTTCCTTTCTTTTTTTTAATTATTATTTTGTGTATGTGTGTGTACCATCAAATCAGATCTGACTGGTACAGGAGGAGATTGTTCCTCCTTCTCCAGCAGAGCATTTGGTGGATTTGAGGTCTCCTTTCTTTGGAATGGAAACAAATATTGATCTCTTCCAGTTAATTGGCTAGGTGGCTGTCCTTCAGATTTCTTGGCACAACTTAGCACGAGGGCAGCATCTATTTGTTTAAATATGTCAATTGGTATGCCATCAACTCCTGGAGGCTTGTTTTTTTCCAATTCTTTCAGAGCAGCTTGAACTTCTTCCTTCATCACCACCTGCTCTTGTTCATATGCTGTTTCATTAAATTCTTCTGTGTCAGCCAATTCCTTCTAGTATAGTGACTCTATATACTCCTTTCATCTTCTCTTAATGCTTCATGTATCATTTAACATTCTGCCCGAAGCATCTTTAAGTACTGCCACTCGTGGCTTGAATTTGTTTCTCAATTTCTTCAGCTTAAGAAATGCTGAGTGAGTTTGGCCCCTCTGATTTCTGACTCCAGCTCTCTGCACATTTCATTAAAATGTCTTGCTTCCAAAGATGCCAAGCTTGCATCCCACGCTGCCATCTGAAATTTTCTGTTCAGCTGTTTAATTTTCTTTCTTTCTTTAGCTTTGGCTTCTTGGCGCTGTAGTGCAATATTCAGTCTCATTTGAAGTCCATCTTGGTCTTTTCTTCCTCTTCAGCCTTTGTAATGATCTTTTACATTCTTCTTGGACCATATTCTTGATATCCTCCCATGGCTCATTTGGTCTTTGCTCATTAGTGTTCAAACCTGTTCCTGAGATGGTTTTGA